AAAAAAATCTTGTACAATTTTGTTACATTATAATCTTCAATTATATAAGATCGAAACACCATTAATCTTTCTTCTTTTTAAGTAAATTGTTTGACGGGAAGATTCCGTATTGCTAAAATATTAATTCGGATTTTAATCCAAAGAAAGAAGAATCGTTACCGTCACGAAAGAGCAAATAAATCCTATTTTCGACTACTTGTGTTTGTCTACGGGCACGATACTGTCAACGAGATAAAGTCTGATTTGAACACTATACACAATATTGTTACGTTAAATAACAATTAATATTTAATCCTATTTTCCGGTCACAATAATCGCACTCCTATTTTGATGGTAAGTCGAACGGCACGGAACTTAACTCGATACGTATCCGTGTAAAGAAAGGAAACGTGAGGCGTGCAACATACAAATCAAAGATCGTTCGGAACGCTTCCCTTGTATCGACAAATCGCGAGATTCGTCGGCGCGATACGACAAGCAGCGCGGCGCAGCGCGGCTAATTAGTTATCCTCGATACATCTGGTCGATGGATAATTAGCCGCTACGGTTTATACGCGCGATAACTCGCCGCTCGCGCGCGCGCACGTTCTCGACGGCCCGCTGGGATTTGTTTCCGCCTGTGAAAACAATTTGTTTCTCATTCCATCGGAACCGAACCCCGTCATCATCGGCGCCAGAATGGGATAAACCCTTCCCTCTCGCGCCCGCTTCTCCCTTTCGACGTCTGTCCTCGTTCCTCCCGCTTCATTTCCTCGGCCCTATTACATCGTTATTAGGCTCGTAACAGACGTGTAAGCGTTCCGGGGAACACCCCACTGGGTTATTAATGGTGACTCTTTGTTTTTTCGTACTCTCCACGCCCGATGGCCACGATGTACTCTTTTTCTCTTCTTCTCTCTTGTTCTCCTCCTCCCCCCTCTCCCCCTCTCTTTTTCTACCGCCCGTTCTACTCCCTACCTTCCTCTATCATTCGTAACGGCCTTTCTTCCTCTCATTAACCCAGGATTTCGCCGTTTCTTTCCCCCCTTTATCCCTCGTTTCCGTTCCTCCCTCTCTCATGCACATCTTGAATAAATTAATGTAAGCGCGAGCATTAAAATAGGTGTCGGGCATTCTGATGCGAATGAGTTCTGCCTCGCGTGGTGACAAATTGGTCGCGCAGGTAAGGGGATACCCATCGCGCCCCATGATACTCACGGCAGAGAGAGAACAGTCGTCGAAAGGGCGTGTGCACGCGCTCCTCCACATGCAGGAAAAAGAAAGCTTTCGCGCGAACCTACCGCGACGTTAGAGACTTCGACGGTCGCCCTATTCTCGCCGTGCGATTTCACCGCGCGTGCTATCGTTCGTGTCGCCTGTCGTGGAATCTCCCATAAAATATATCTTCGACGAGATCTCAGATCCCTGTTCTCGATCGCGGACAAAATGCTTATTCACTTTTATGACTGTCATTGTGTTTCTTGTGTGACGTTTCATAAACTATTTTTCTTCTGCACGTAAAAAATATAATTTAGAAAAAAAATCACCAAATCAGAGTCGATTATCAGTAATATTCGAACTTCTTAAGGTAGAGTATGTGTGCAATCGCGACGAATAATGAGAATATGACAAGCGAATAGAATCTAACAAACAAATCGACTTTTTAAGTATAAAATCGATCACTCTATCCAAATTTAAAGAATGTTGCATATCATACATGTTATATGATGAAATAGAAGCAAGTATTATGTATTCCAATAATATACTATATCTTTCTCAATACGCGAGTTTTTAATGTCTTTAATCTTATTTCCTGTTACCGTTCGCCTGTTGTTTCGGCCTACAAATCATAAAATATCATTGCGATTCGCTCAATCGTACAGTCATCGACAACAGGTATTAGCTTATTATCGCACGAATGATCAACATGATCGTTAGAGATATATGTCTAACAACTATCGCAACGTTAGTCCCCACAGTAATCGAGTATGTCACTAAATATACGCCTATTAAGTAATCGCCTGATCATAACGTAATCACGAGGACATTTTTATGCACTTTTTAAACGCCGTGAGCGACTCACCTTCGCAAGTAAACTGTCCGTAATGTTTGCCGCTGCTTTTGTCCCCGCAGACGACGCACTCGATGTTCGGCGATTTATCATTTTGCGAGCTGCCGGACTGTGAACTATTAGCCTGGCTTCCGGGAGTGGTACTGGGTGGCAAGGGGTCCCTCGAGGTCAGGACCGAGCCGGCGGGCACCAGACAGGTGATGTCCTCCGGCGTGGCCGAAGGCGTCAGATGCGCGGGCGGCATCGGCGGCGGCGGGCCTACCTGAAGGGGTCCGCCGCCGCCACCACCGCCGCCGCCGGCTGCGCCCAGGGCGGCCCCGGGGTCCCGCGAGGCCCAGGAGGGCGGCGGCGCGACCAACGCCATCGAGGCGGTGGTGCCGCGCGCCGGGAACCCCAGCTCCAACGTGGTGGTGAACTCGGGGTGGTGGTGTCCGGCTGGCACCCGACCAGGGAACAACGTCGCCGTCGCGGCCGGGTAAACCACCCCGGCAGTCGCCAGGGCGTCCGCGCCTACCGTCCCGCCGCGAACCACCCTGCCGGTTTCCTGTCCGTAAGACGCGATTCGACCGGCAACGACGACGGAGCCGACTGTAGGTGGGAGGTCAGCTCAGTCCGTCAAGAAATCCTCAAATTGAATTAGTCTATATCCTGAAAGATGCGAAATCCTGACACAGGCAATGTCCTCGGCAATCTGCGCGTTGATCACTTTGACGTTGATATATCGGCGACTGCTCCTAGAAATCACTTTTCTTCACTCACTTCTTCACTGTCCTGAACTTCCCGATAAATATCGCATAATCGTAAAATAAACTATACAAGTGATGTCCGACACCTATCATATTTGCAGAGAATCACGAGTAGACCGACGCGAGCGTTCTCAAATTATCGTTCGAATGCGATTGTACGTATAGACATTTGTCGAAGATATCAAAGTCAAAGCTTTATCCTTTAACACGCGTTATATTTCCTCAATGTTTTATTTTTGTTTCGTTTTCGCTCCGGTTCTCCAAATCTTCAAACTAAATAGCTCACCTAAGATTTACGGAGAACCGAATTCTGTCCGATCCTTCGATCTTTTTCCGAAGGTATCGCACTTAGGTTAAAGATTTCACGACTCCAATCAACTTTGTTATTACTCGTAGATTATTCGCGCTGCAATAACCACAGTGCCATCCCGCAAGAACTCCCAATAAACACGCGTGAATAACGATCGCGAATGATACAACGATGTCAAACAGTAACAACCCTCACACTCGGTCATGCACTCGGAGGCACTTCACTTTTTCCACGTGTACATCGCGAATTGAGAAGGAAGGTTTTGCGTTTAAGACACCGGCACTCGCACCGACACCGATCAAACTATTTCGACGACGATCGTCAACCCTTCGAGCATCAGGGAAACGACACACGATCCACAATATCAGTGAATCCGCTGCGAAAGGGGGGAGGGATTAGGAAGGGTAGACAAACTCCGAAAATGAATCCGAAGCAGTTCGGAGCGATCGCGTCCTTCCGCTTTGACGCGATTTGGAGTATATCTTTCTCAGAGCTCTCTCTCATCCGTAGCCGCGAGCGTGCCTGCGTACGTTCCCGCGTGCGTACGTACGTGCGTGCGCGTACGCAGTCGATATATCGTACAGCCGCAAGCGACACTTGCGTTTGCGCGAGCCTCGATGTGTACGTTTGCTCGCCCGCTCGCTCGCGTGCGCGTGTACTTCTTCGGATGCGTGTTGCGCGATGGTGTGCGTGATGGTGTCGTCCCTCCGTCGCACGCTCGCAGCGCCGAGCATCAGCAACAGCAGCAACAGCAGCAGCAGCAGCAGCGACGGCGGCGGCGGCGGCGGCGACGGCAGCGGTGACGGTGACGGCGGCGGCGGCGGCGGCGGTGGTGGCGGCGGCGGCAACGGCAGCAGCGGCAGCAGCAATAGAACGGAGGGCCGTAGTAGTAGTAGGAGAAGGAGGAGAAGAAGAGAGGTGATACTCGACTACCGCCTCGATACGACTATGCTTGGGGCCGACCAGCGACCGCTGGCGAACTAAGGCGACCCCTGACACCGACCTGGACCCCCCACTATCGCAAACCCGCGAGGGTTTCTCGCGGGTTCCACTGGTTGCCATGACTACTGAAGGTGGGGTCGAGTCCCGGGCGCGCCCCGGTCGTCCTCTCATTGGCTACGGGCTTGCCCTACCCCGGACAACCAGCACGCGTTGCCCGACCAAGTAGTTCCGTACCCACTGTGACTCCTCGATCTAGTCGCCGTTTCCCTCTTTCTCTCTTGCGATCGCTGATGAGTGGGTCTCCTTCTTTCGCCCGAGATTGTCTCGCTCGCCGCACCGACGCCTCGCTCACTCGCTCTCGCTCTTCATCTATCTATCCGTCTGCCGTCAGTCTATTCGTCCTGCTCTCCCTCTCCTTCGTCGCCCCCCTTCTCCTCTCTCCTTCTACTCTTTCTCCGTCTCTTTTTTTTCTCCCCATCCGCGAACTCCACGAACAAGTGCTTCGCAGTTCTCCTTATCGCGTTCCCTGTCCTTCTCCTTTTCTCTCGCGCACCATGTTCCACCACTCTATTCGTAATCTCTTCTCGCGGACCCGAGCTCTCCGGATTCTTCAACCTGCTGATCATATTATTACGCTTTTTATCAAACCGACCGCGACCGCTACCATACAGTCGTCATCGCCGCCTCTAAAAGCGCTTGTCGGGCTTATCTCGGACTGCCTTCTCGGGAGGGGGCCGTGTTCGATCCACCAGATTCAACCTCAAGCTCGTTTTAATCCTCCCGATTCCTATCACTTCTTTCTTTCCGCATCAAGTTAATCCGTCTGCGATTATTTCCGCTGACCGTTACTCCGATTCGTCTTGAATTCGCCGCGATAAATAGCAATCTTGAAGTACCTTCCAACGACTTTTCCGTTTTTAGCCATTTAATATCATCCTTACCCGCATTTTCTTCGCTTTACAAAAGAAAGGGTCCGCCGTTGTTATGAAACTGCTTCGTAAAGATTTGTTTGAAAGCATATTAGCCGGTTGGAGGATGACATGACTATAGACGAGCGATTAACATTTTCGTCCGGGTGTCTTCGGCCGTTTCTTCTTTTCTTCTCCGGAAGAAGGGACCAGGTAGAAGGAAAGCGGTCGTCCACCCCGCCGGTGTCAGGGGCAGCCGAGGGAAGAGAGGTCAGAGTGAGAGGGCGGCAGCCAATGAGGACGTGGAGTCAAGTGGGGCGCGAAAAATGGGCCGGCCCGCCTTCCATCCACCCCGAGTGCTAAGGGTGAGGGTAAGGGTGCGCGGAGTAGGGCTAGAGAGGGCTCCGAAGGCGGCCGGGGCATCGAGGTAGGGTCAGTCGGGTCGCAGCCCTGCACCCCTACAGCCTCGCCTGTCAAGCTCTTTGCTCTTTCCTCGCCTCCCTCTATCTCTTACTCCTCCATCTCGTTTTCCCTTACGCTTCGTCGTCTTTCCCTTGCGACGGCAGCGCGGTCCCTACGTTTTTCCGAGCTGCCGGGATCCGATATTTTTCATGTTCAATCTTACTTTCTCGTTTTTTATCTTCATGCAGGGTATTGATTTAATGGTACATACATAGTTCGGTGAACGTTAAATCCGCGATTACGAATCTCTGCTACTTATATCATGTCAAATCTTGTTTTTTATTCGGATTGCCGTTTTACAGCTTATATACAGTGTTTTTATATCATTGAAAAATTAATAATTTTCTCTTCTCCCATTTTTTATATAAAAAATAAATGAGAAAAAATACTTTATCAGTATTTAACTACATTTTTCCTTTTTAGAAGTACAAATTTACGCCTTGAAAATGCAACAAATGTGAAAGTGTGCTAAAGAGTTAAAAAGAGTTAAATCTCACATTACATCATCAATCAGTTTATCCTACATTCCGTTACCGATAAACTCCATCGCGCAACATTCTTATCGCGCAATTGCTCGCTGGCGTTTCTCCGTGCCGTAATCGATGTCGAGCCAAAGCAGGCGCGTAAGACGATCTTCTCGCCGAGCGACGAAATCGAAGGTATCCTCAACGCGTGATTCGAGCGCGAGGAATTCGGCCTCTCGATACAGCGCGCAGCAACGAGAATCGCTATTCTTTTTTCGACGGGTTGCGTGCGTGCGCGTGCACGCAAATAGCGGACGGCGAATAGCGGCGGCTTGGTCGGGCGAGCGAAAAACGAGAAAACGAGGGTACCGGGAGGCTCGAAGACGATCGGAGCGAAGCGAGCCGTTGGCACTCGCGCGCTCTTGAACCGAACTCAATAAGCGTGACCTCCGACCGACCGACGCTCGACTCCTCGGCCGTTACAAGCGCCGTCGTGGATGTCGTCGAGGGTCGGATTTAGGCTGCACCCGATGCGACCGCATCGGATTTCGCGCGACCTGTTCCACCTGACGACGTCAGCGCCGACGTTTATCGCTTCTATCGACGCCGTGGGATTTCGTTTCGATTACAGGGCAACATTAATATACATGTATTCGAGAAATACATATGTGAAAAATTCAAAATGTTTCTTATTCTTAAGTTTTTTACTGTTTTTACGTTTTCTTAGTGTAGGCGATTTTCCATAGACGTTGGTAACGG